AGAAACTTACAGCTCATTACACTCATTGGAAAACTGTCATTTCCTTAGTCTTTAGGAGTTGCAAAATGATGTTCATAGAAAGCACCTGGAGGAGGAGCACTTTGCACGACTAAATCACAAGTCAGGTCGTGAGGGCTTAAACTAGGCTAAAGTGTGCACCAATAGAAGAAAAAATTAAGACAAGGAGAGGAAGTGAGGAGGACAGAAAGGAGTAGGAACAGATTTTTCCTAACCTAAAATGTTCTAGAAAACTGTAAATAATGGCTTTAGGGATAGTGGAGAGAAGGAGAGCTTTTCAAGAGCAGGCCAGATGCGTTAGAGGGCCGGCGGGCTAAGTCACAACGCTCAATTACTGTTCCTTATGTTTTCAAGGAAACCACATACATAGTTATATTTCATAAAACTGACCAGCAGAGTGGTCTACTGGATTATTCAGATGGTCATAAACAACGAGTTGATGCATTTCAAAAGAACATGTGCCTTCTTATAAACTTATTCAAATCACCTTCAGAAAACTAGAAGACGGCATAATTTGCATAATCGACCTAGTTTTATTAAAAACTCAGATTTCAGGTGGTGCACATGAAGGTTTTGGAAGTCTGGCATAACTCCGCATTTCTTCTAGGCCTCTGTTCATCTCCCTTCCTTCCTTCTTTCCTTCCATTTATTTATTTATTTGTGTGGCTGGCTCGGCCTGTGGTGCCAGGGATTGAACTGCTGTCCTGCGCTTTGCCGAAGCAGGCGCTTCAGGCCAGAGCCACCTCGCCGGCCGGCGCACAGGCCCCACTCTTGAGCATCCGTTGATGCTTCTTTCACCCTGGCTGCTGACCCCCGGGGCCGGCTCCAATTGGCCTTGTTCACCTCACGTCCCTCTTTCTCACTGCATTTTCAGTTCCAAGCGCCCTTTGACAGTCTTGTGTCTTTCTAAAATGATCCAAGGGACCGAGGAGATAGCTCAGTAGAAAAAGCACTTGTCTGGCCAGCGCAAGGACCTGAGTTATCCCCGGCTCCGCAAAAAAAAAAAAAAAAAAAAAAAAAAAATCCAAACATTAAAGCTGCTTTGTTTTTCCTCATCCACGGGAGGCTAGAATTCTGTTTCGTCCTTCCAGCTTGGCTTAAATGACAAAAATAACATTTCACCTGGGACTCACACTTAGGTAACACGCGGACGTTACCAAGGAACGTTCTCGACCCAGCTGGCTCCTCCTTGCTGCCGGGCCCCTCGGTGCGGGAGCTCGGCCGCCTTTCCCTCGTTCGTCTCCCCGCGACCCGCCGGCCGCCCGCTCCCGTCCAAGCACCCCGATCTCTCCAGCACTTACGGCGCACACCCGCGACGGCGCCGCCGCCTTGAGACTCGCAGGGACCCACAGAGCGCGGCGGACTCCGCAACTCCCCGGCGCGCAGCCGCGGCGGCGTCGCCCTGGCAACCGGGACGCTCGGGCCGCGCTCAGCCGGGCGGCTCCCAGGCTCCGCCCAGCCTCCGCCCGCACCTCGGGTGGCCTCTGGCGAGCCTGCGACGTCAGGGTGTGGCCGCGGCATCCAGCGAGACGGCTGCTTCTCCGTGTGCTGTGGAAACTTCTCATTAGCTATGAGTAATTAATGCAAACTAAGCCTCACTCTCACTGGCCCAGCGCTGATCGCTGCAGCTTTCGCTAGGCTTGACTCCTAGCTGTTCTAACAAGGACGCTCTTGACAGCTGCCCTCCTGCTCCACCTACCCCAAGCCCGCGAGTTTAATGCCACCGCCCCTGAACCTGCTGCAGTGATTTCTCATACACCTAGGCTTGTAGGTTCTTTTCCTGCACAGCCCGAACTCCTCTTCGTCTATCAACAGTGCAGTTTACACCTATTTCTACACAAAGCCTTTCCTATCCCAAAGTGGAATCAGGCACAACTGTGTGTGTGTGTGTGTGTGTGTGTGTGTGTGTTACCAGGGATTGAACTCAGGACCTTGTGCTTGCCAGGTAAGCACTTATTCCACTGAGCTATCTCCCCAGCCCTGTACTTCTTAATACCACTTATTCCCCCACTTACCTTCATTTATCCAAAGTTCTTCTTGGATGAATACTGGCTGGGAATGAAGTCTTTTCTGTCTTTCCTCTAGTGCCAGTAACATGTGCGGATAGACTGTAAATAATCAATATGTTAAGTAATCGTCTCACAAAAGTAAAAGCCCTTGTATGTTTTGACTAGGCTTATTTAATTAACAAGCTTCAATTGTAAAGTTAAGTTTACTTAATACAGAAATTCTTTGAATAAAAATCCTTTTTGGGAAAGCAAAAAATTAAGACAAATTTAATTTGTCTTGTTGCAAAGAAATAGTGAAATATCATTATTTGCAACCCAATTGGAGCAAATTATCTTATTTCTTTTTTTGTTCTATTTAAAAAAATTTTAATAGATTGCAAATTGAAAATGAATTATTTACAAACATAACTGAATATAACAATAAAAACTGTCCAAAATAAAAATGAAAGAATTTACAGATCAGTCATAATAGTTCACTGTGTCAAAACCAAGAAACTTATATTCA